GGGACCGCGCTAGAGACTGCTTCCTGCAGCTGCCAGGCCGGAGCGCAGCAGCTGGGCAGTGCCTGGAGTTGCACAACAGCATCCGCAGGGAAGCGTTTGCGCTCACTCTTTTTCTCCTGCCAGCAACAACCCTATCCCATAAAATCCCCTTAACGTCTCCTCAGGCCCATCTGTACCTGTGTAGTTGGACTGAAAAAGTGTAACCGCGCGTTTCGATAGAAGCTGCGTGTTTTGCTCCAGATGTCGAGGCAGGCCCCAGGCAAAACGCAACAATCCCACTGCCTGGGGACAACAGCCGCCCCGGCCTGCGGCTCGCGGCCCCACGGCTCCCCGAGAGCCCCGCGGTTAACAGCGGGGTCGTCCGGATGGTCCGGCCCGAGCTTTCAGGAAAGCCCTCCTGTTGGTCGCCTTCGTACATCCGCAAACATGGGAGATGAGGAAGAGGCAAGTGTGATACCGCACCCTGCGCAGGGGGAGCCGGGGGTCCCCTCCATCCTGCCTGCCCCGTGCCATCTCCACAGCTGCTTGCAGGAACCTCGTCCGGCTGGTTCTGCTCCAGGCACGGCCGAATCCTGCGCCACGGTCCTTAGCATAGCTCGTGCGGCAATTAGCGCTCGGGGAGCCATTCGCCTCGGCCAGGTTTCTGCATGAGCGAGCAGGAGCTGAAGGATCGCGGTCCACGGCTCCGTGCGCCTGAACGTTTTGCGGTGGTGGAGGCTCTGGGAAAGAGCCAAGGCGGAGCGAGCAAGCGGCTGGGAGCGTTTCCCAGCGCCTGCGACTCTACGTGCCTTTCCACCAGGCACCCTCTCATTGCTTTGTGTTGGCGGACGGGCTCGTGAGTCAGGCTCCCCGTGGGGGAAGTAAAACCCTGGCCTGAGCAAGAAACCTAGCGCCGGGCAGGTTAGCCACTTCCTGCTGTGCTAAAGCGAGTTAATAAAAACCCTTCCGGGACCTCTTCCTCCTCCCCGGAGACTCAGGGCTTTCGGCAAAACCTGGGGTCGCTTTCTCGGGCAGCTGATGAAAGCGGCTTTTGTTGCGCTGCCCGCCCTGCTGTGGGGTTCCTGCTCGTGGGTTTGGCGATGTCACCGCAATTAACTGTCCCCTTGCGTCAGCACACGCCGCGTCCGGAGGTGCCCTCCCACCGTGACACAGCTCTGCTGGGACAGTCTCTGTGCCAGGCAGGGGAGAGAGCTGTCACCTGCGGTGTTTTGGCACGTGGAAACGGCCGCACGTGGGGTCCTGTGCTGCGTGGCCGGGACCCACTGGGGCATATCGTGGCCTGGAGACCTGCTCTCTCCCACGGAGCTTCCCTGCCAGGTTTGTTCCTCCCATCATCACGTCCTGCTGCTGGAGCATGTCCTGTCCTCTTCCTCCTCGTTCGCAGACCGAGGTTTGTCTGTGCCTTTTCCCCACAGCTTGCTCTTCCCTGGGATGCTCCTGTCCCCGCGCTTCCCTCTGTGGCTCTGGGGCCTTGCTCCGGCGATGCGGGAAGCAGACGGAGCTGGGAAGACCTTCGCCACCGCGTGCGCCAGGGCATCCTGTGTGGTCGGGTGGTCGGGGGGTGCGAGCGCGTAGGTGCGGAAGGCAGGGAAGGAAGGC